TGGGCACAGTAGGCAGGGCGAAAATATTGCCATTGCTGAAAGGATTGAGAACCAGGAAGAAGACATTTCAGAAATTTGCCAAAGAAGCAAAGATGAATTGAGAAAAATCTTCCTTATGCAGCAAGTGATTGAAATCTGCCTGGGACTGTGGTGGAGGCAGGGTCAGTCAATGAATTCAAGAGATAATTAGATTATAATCAGAAAAGAATGTGCAGAGTTATGAGGAGAAGGCAGGGCAGTGGGACTAGGTGAATTGCTGCTTCAGATGAGGGGGCGAATGGCCTCCTTTCTGTGCTGTAACCATTCTACATTATTTTCCACTCACTAATCGGATGTCTAACACTTTAGAGAGTATTCTAACCTATGATATGTGTAAACTTTTTACATTTCTGTGGCTCAACTGGTAGTACTGTGTCAAGCTTTCAGTGTCAAGTCCAGGCCTTGAAAAAAATCAGTTTATAAGAGCAAAGTATTGCAGATGTTGGAGATCAGAAATAAAAACAGAAAGTGCAGGAGAAATTCAGCAGGTCTGGCAACATTTGCGGACAGAGAAACAGAGTTAACATCGCAAATCCAAATGACTCTTCTTCAGAACATAAATTAGCCACAGTGGTTTCCAACATTACTGTACTGACAACATTTACTCTTTAGCCTGCAAAGTCCTCTGAGGTGTCAGGCGATTGTATAAAGACTTATATGAATGCAAAACCTCTTGATCTCTTTTCTGTGCATCATGCCATAAAAGCTAAATCACTATTGTCATTTGTGAGACCATATCACATCTCCTAGACGGTATTTATTTGAATTGCTGCTTTCGTCTGTTTAGCCATGCCTAACAAAGCCAGTTGGCAATCATTTCTTTGATTTTCCTCACAAAGTACAATACTGGGCATTGGCTCCCTGTCTGCCCAATCTGCTAACTTGTGTGCTCTTGAGTTTTTTCAAACAGTTGTCCACATTAACAAACATTCCACTTTCATGTTATCAGCAAACCCTAAAATTATTCTTCCTGGTAAAACCTATTTGCATGTTACTGACATAACAGCTACAATAATAATGTATATATTATGGCGATAGCCTAGTGGTATTATCGCTGGGCTGTCAATCCAGAGACCCAGGTAATTTCTGGGGAGCTTGATTCAAATCCCACCATAGCAGACTGTGGAATTTGAATTCAATAATAAAAAAATTTTTTAAAGACGATCCTAATGGTGACCTTGAATTGATTGTCGGGAAAAACCCATCTGGCTCACTAATGTCCTTTCGGGAAAGAAAGTGCCATCCTTATTTGGTCTGGACTACATGTGACTCCAGACCCTCAGCAATGTGGTTGACTCTGAACTGCCCTCTGGGCAATTAGGGATGAGAGATAAATGCTGGCCTAGCCAGCAATGCCCTCATCCCATGGATGAATAAAAAAAATCATACAGCCCCTTTAACATAATAAAACATTGCAAGATGCCTGACAGAAACTTTTTCAAACAACATATGGCACCAAGCCACAGGAGAAGCTATTAGTACAGATGACCAAAAGCTTGGCCAGAGGTAGCTTTCAGTCAGTCTTTTGTTGGAAGAAAGTGTGTTGGAGTAGTACTAGAGGATATTTTGGAACCTAGGGCTCTACCATCTGAAGGCATAGCCACCAATGTCAGAACAGATAGGAGTTGCTTTACATCAATGTAATTGGACAGGGTTAATCTATTCAAGGCATTTTGAATCAATCACATAAATTAATACTAATTCATGTGATAGAAATCTGAATAAAAGAGTCATACAGTCATAGAGACGTACAGCACAGAATCAGATCCTTCAGCCCAACTCGTTCGTGCTGACCAGATATCCTGAATTAATCTAGTCCCATTTTCCAGCATTTGGCCCATATCTATCTAAGCTCTTCCTATTCATATTTCCATCCAGACGCCTTTTAAATGTTGTAATTGTACCAGTCTCCACCACTTCCTCTGGCAGGTCATTCCATACACGCACCACTCTCTGCATGAAAAAGTTGGCCCTTAGGTCCCTTTTAAATTTTTCCCTTCTCACCTTAAATCTCTGCCCTCTAGTTTTGGACTCCACAAATATCTGCAAATTCTCAGCAGGTCTGTCAGTGTCCGAGGAGAGAGAAATAGAGGTAGTGTACGTGACCAGTCCCGGTTCCAATGAAAGGTCATTGACCTGAAACATTAGCTCTTTGTCTTTTTTCTGGGTTGCTACAGAAGCTGGCAGGCCTGCAGAGGAGTTCTGGCCCTTTCCATCCAGTCAACTCAATGCAAGTAATCTGATTTTAACAAATGAAAATCATTACCGAAATATTTCCCAGCTACAGTTGTGTACAAGTAGACAACTCCTGAGCAATCTTAAACAGAGGCTGTTAAAATATGTGTATTAGTGGCTCAAAAAAAGCTTAATATTTCAGAGCTTCCTCAATTAGTGGAAATTTGCAACAATAATGAATTCAATTTGGAAACACTGCTGGGTTCTAGCATAATGAAGTTCAAATTAGTTCAAGAGAGAGGAATCTTACTTGGTGTTTGTGTTTAAGCTCCCTTAATCTTTTGATCTGAACTTGCACTTGTTGAACAATCCTGGGTGCGTACATAGCTACATGAACAATCACATTAAGATAAACGGTTGGGCATTAACCTGGCTCACTTATGCTTGCTGGAAACGTCATACATTCAAACAGTGAGATGTGCTTTCTGCAAAGGGGTATATTCAAGTTTTGCATCATTTTGAATCACATGGAAGCTCGGAAAAACTATTGTCTCCCTGCTGCTTTCTCCAAGACAATGCGTTAGCCAAAGTCAACTTGCCGACCAATCTGCACCATTTCGTGCTGTGCTACACATTGCTGATTGTTTGAAATTCTTTTATTTCTCCTGATGAGTGTAAAATGAAAGGCTTCAGTAATGTGAGAGATAGTAGGAACTGCAGATGCTGGAGAATCTGAGATAACAAGGGATAGAGCTGGATGAACACAGCAGGCCAAGCAGCATCATAGCAGCAGGAAGGCTGACGTTTCGGGCCTGGACCCTTCATTTTCTGATGATGGGTCTAGGCCTGAAACGTCAGCCTTCCTGCTGCTATGATGCTGCTTGGCCTGCTGGCTTCAGTAATGTGTCTTTTTTCAGCAAGATTCATGCTCTGTATGACCAAGCCACTGTAAGTGTTATGAACAAAGTGCAGTCAGCACTGACATCTAGGAGATATGTGCACATTACTTATAAGCTCGTATTCTAAAGGCATTTATTGTTTGAGAAGAAATCATGTTGTAACATAGTAGTGTAAAAACTGTGCTTGTTTTTCAGGCATCGTACATTGCAAGTTTAAGCGTTAGATTGTGCACAGGCCATCCGACCATCTACAGAGAGTTGGTCCAATTGGTAAATATATGGAACCCAAAGGCATTAGGTCCCAATGAAACATAAATTATGGCCTTCGTGCCTATTAAAGGTCCCTTTCGAAAACACAATGAGCCTTTTTGACTTGCTTGAGTCAGGATTTTTGCTGCCTTCCCAAAAGAATTCCAACCTCAGCGAGCTGCCAATCAGCTAATTGGCCAGTGGCTCCTTCATTCCACTGGGAAAGGAAGCTGCTGATAGCACTACAACAGCATCCCTCTGAGGGCAGTGTTCACAGGTGAAGCTCGGTCTGCGATACGAGTTTGGGGTCTAACTGAGGTAAGGCTGACAGATCCCAGCAAGGCAGAGAATGCCGGGGGGAAGGTCACAATTTGGGATGGGGATGGGTGGCCTCCTGACCCTCCACACCTTGCTGGGCAGTTTGAAGACCCAACATGGCTCTCATGAGCCAAAAGCTCTTCACATTTATCATTCCCAGGAAGAATATGAAAGGGTTATTAGCATTGAAAAAGGGTGAAAGGGCAGTAAAGAGTTTTGATCACAAATTATAGTCAGCAGATATGAACATGTAATGATTTAATGGATAATATTTTCATGTGTCCAGATTTGAATATGATTCAACAATATATTATTGTGTACTAATTGATCATTGACTTCCGAAAGAAAGGAGAACATGCGCCCATCTATATCAACGGAGCTGACATTGAGAGAATGGACAGCATCAAGTTCCCAGGAGTGTCGATAATCGATAACCAGTTCTGGACTTCCCACATAAATGCAATGGTCAATTTGGTGCAACAACACCTCTTCTTACTCAGGCAGCTCAGGAAAGTTGGCTCATCCACAAGGTCCCTCACCAACTTTTACAGATGCACCATTGAAAGCATACTGTCCGGGTGCATAACGGCCTGGTATGGCAACTGCTCTGCCCAGGACTGTAAGAAACTACAGAAGCTGGTGTGCATAGCCCAGGCCACTACAGAAGCCAACCTTCCATCCATGGACTCTATTTACATGGCTTGTTGCTGTGGAAAGGCTGCCAACATCATGAAAGACCCATCCTACCCCAGTAATGCTCTCCTACAACCATTTCCATTTAGCAGAAGATACAGAAGCTTGAACAAATGCACCAGCAGGTTCAGAAACTGCTTCTTCCCGGCGATTATTCGACTGATAAATGGACTCTCTAACTTCAAATAATGCTGATCTTGCTAATATTGATCTTACCTAATGCATGCTCTGTGTGATATAACCTGTATGCCTCTAAGTTTTTCTTTCACCCTAAGATTTGTATGTCCTTGCTTACTATGATCTGCCTGTACTGCTCGTAAACAAAGCTTTGCACTGTACTTAGATACACGAGACAATAAGTAAATCAAATCAAATAACTTGGAATGTGGTGGAGAATGAATACTATTAGATAGTGTGCAAATGTGTGTAATCTTTTTATTGGAAATTTTACCTGTAAAAATAGTGTAAATGCATTATTTTGTAGCAAATCAAGGAGTTATGTGCCATCTTAGATGGGCACACGTCCCATGCATGCATGAATAAACACTTAGACAAAGTTTAATTTGTTCCTTAAGGGATCAAAGGGTTAAAAAAACTTTTCCCTCTCAGGACATAGAATAACCTTACCCAATAGAGCATTTCGGCCATTATCATCTGGTAAAAATCGCTTATCCACAGCACAGACTAGAAGGTGTTCAGGAAGATTGGGAGACTTGGCACCGATGAGTAGGAATCCTGATGGCACCTCGATCTGCTCATTTGACATCGAAATGAGCCGCAAGTCCTTTCCCGCCTGACAGAAACCTAAAAACAAATTGTTCCTATCAGTAAAAAGCAAGTCCACTTTCTCTCCCAGGCTTTAAAGAAAAAATTACCTGAAAGTAGCGGAACTTTAAATTCCTGAATTTTAACATCTATAAATTAACTGGGTTCTACGGTTAAACTTTTCATGTGATCTGGTCCATTCAGTGTGTGATAGCAATTTCAAAGATTGACGCCTGTTTGAAAGTTAAAGTTAACCTTTTGATAATCAGCATAAATGCAAACCTATAGACAGAACAAATAGGTTATGTGCGATTACAGAAAGGGTAGAAACACATAGAATCCCTACAGTGTGGAAGCAGGCCATTCAGCCCATTGAGTGCACACAACCCTTCCAAAGACCATTCCACCCAGACCTGTCCCCCTACCCTATCCCTGTAACCCTGCACTTCCTATGGCTATCCACCCAATCTACACACCCCTGGACACTATGGATTGGCCATGCTAAATTCCCCAACGAACCTGCACATCTTTGGACTGTGGGGGAAAACTGGAGCACCGAGAAGGAACCCACGCAGATACGGGGAGAATGTGCAAACTCCACACAGACAGTTGCCGGAGGCTAGAATCGGACTTGGGTCCCTGGTGCTGTGAGGCAGCAGTGCTAACCACTGAACCACTGTGCCGCCCCACGTCTGGTCTTATATTCAGTATTGATTTATATCTTACTACCAATGTAAAAGTAACATTTAGTTTTTAATTAGAGTTTATCATTTTTAATTTTGTCCAAGCCCTTTTCTGCACTGTGAATGTATTATTTATTTCCAGTACAGCCAGGTGTTGTTGTAATGATATTTCATCTAGTGATAATGTAGAGTTTGACACTGAAAAATTATAGTAAGATTTGACATGATTATGCAGGTTTAGTGCATCCTGATCACTCTTTGGAACTGTCGGCCTCAATTTGAATATTAGAAACAGTATCAAGACTAGCTTTTTGTTGTGTAAGATAATGTCACTGAAGAGTTTAATATCTGTGTTATACTGGCTCCACCCATTCTCTAGATGTCATACAGTCTGTTGGTGAAGGCAGGGATTTCTACTCCTTAGGTCCTTAAGGTCCTAATAATGATACCTGACCAAATGTAGTTTTACATATTGCTATCACTCAATAAACCATCTCATTATCTAAGAGCAGTGTATCTTCTGTAGATGTTCTACAGTGATATATCCTCTGCCATTAATCACGAGATAGATGCAAGTCAAAACAAAAACCATGGAGCATTGGTGCCAGTGAACTACCACAAACAACCCTCAGCCAGTACCACATGCTGATAGGGTTGTAAAATACCACAAGGTACTGAGAAGTGGTCACCGAGGAAAATATCTGCTTTCAGCCAATCAGCACTTTCAATAAGGTCAGGTGACCTTATAGTCAACACTGTACAGAGAAAATAATGGAGATGCTGAACTTGTTTTTACTAATGTGGTGAAAAGTAAATAAAATCAAGGAAAAGTTCAGTACTTTTCTGCAGGGAAGAAAGGGAATAGCCAATGGTAAGTGTCTACTGGATCAGTTTCATATGCCTCCCAGTCGTGTACTGAGGAGCTGGCCTCCCCATTCTCTGCAGATGGATGCAATATATAAAGCAAAGAGAAAAAGATAATTGATGGTGACTTGAAATGCCTTATTCTAAAAAAATGTTTAATATTTATTGTTGCTTGTGGTTTATTTTTACACAGGCAATTCTGTTATACTGTTAGCCATTTTAGCAAATGAGATTCACATTATTTTTATTAATATTAACATTATTAAGTATTATTTTAACTGGAAATGACAGCATAGATAACATAACTAATGCCATTACTCTTTTGTTTTCCAGATAACAAACAGGAATAAATTTTGGATTTTGGCTGAAAGGTTATGAAGTGGAAATGTTCATTATACAATAAATGCATGCTGCAACTTGGAAGGCATTTGTTTTATCAATAGAGATAAAGACAAAAAGGTAGCTCAGTTCCATTGTATAAAAATATATTTAAGAAAAAAAATGCACAAAAACTGTTGGAATTCAGGCCCTGATTTTAGATTATCGAGGTTAAATAATTCATAGCAAAAGCGGTAAAATCTAAAAACTAAAACAAACAAAACTCAGACTCTGTCACAGCTCCCTTCTTGTTAGACAGCAATTTCATCCTCTCTGAACAATTTCCCCTTTAATTCATCTCACTTCTGCCAACTCAAAGGAGTGACTATGGGCACCCGCATGGGTCCCAGTTTTGCCTGCCCCTTTATGGGGTATGTGAAACACTGCTCGTTCCAGTCCTACATCGGCCCCTCCCACAACTACGTTCTCAGTACATCAAAGACTGTTTTGGTGCTGCCTCATGCTCCCACCAGGACCTTGAAAATTTGTTCATTTTGCCTCTAATTTCCACCCCTCTATAACTTTCACATCGTCCATTTCTGACACTTCCTTCCTTGACCTCTGTCTCCATTTTGGGGAATAAACCGTCCACTGCCATCCACTACAAACCCTCTGACTCCCATAGCTACCTTCACTACAGCTCTTCACAGCCCATGTCCTCTAAGGATTCCATCCCATTCTCCCAGTTCCTTCACCTACATCTCATCTGTTCGAATGATGCCACCTTCCAAAACAGCGCTGCTGATATGGCTTCCTTCTTCCATGACCATAGTTTCCGACCCACTGTGGTTGACAGGGCCCTTAACCACACCCGACCTATTACCCGTGCTTCCATCCTTGCCCCTTCCCATCACTCACAACAGTGCGGTCAGGCTCTTTTTGTCCTCACTTTGCATCCCACCAGCATCCGCATTCAAAGGATCATTCTCTGCCATTTCAGACAATTCTAACAGAACACCACCGCCAAACACATCTTCCCCTCACTCCCCCTGTCTGCAATTCGCAGGGATTGTTCCCTCCTGGACACCCTTGTCCATTCATCGACCACCAACACCACCCCGTCTTCCCACGTAACCGCAGAAGGTGTAACACCTGCTCCTTCACCTCCTTCCTGCTCACCATCCAAGGGCCTAAACAGTCTTTCCAGGTGAAGCAGCATTTCACCTGGTACCTCCTCCAATCTGGTGTATTGTATTCACTGCACCCAATCTGGCCCAATCTGCATTGGAGAAGCCAAACACAGACTGGGTGACTGCTTCGCAGAACACCTCCGATCAGTACGCAAGCAGGACCCTGACCTTCCCGTAACCAGTCATTTTAACACAGCGGCCTGCCCACATGCCCATATATCTGTCTTCGGCATGCTGCAGTGTTCCAGTGAATCACAGCACAAACTGGAGGAACAACATCTCACCTTCAGATTAGGCACTTTACAGCCTTCTGGACTAAATATTGAGTTCAACACCTTCAAGTTGTGAACCATTTCTCCCCTTTCTTTTAGCTTTACTGGTTACATCCCCTTATTTCTTCCCTTTCTTCCAGCTTCACTTGTTACATCCTCTCATTTCTTCCCTTTCTTTCAGCTTCACTTGTTACATCCTCTCATTTCTTCCCTTTCTTTCAGCTTCACTTGTTACATCCTCTCATTTCTTCCCTTTCTTTTAGTGTTACTTGTTACATTCTCTGTCACCATGTCATCGCTCCCCTCTTCTCTTTCACCTCTGGTAGTAAGAAACACCATTGTTTTGCCATTCTCACATTTCAATCACTTAACCTGAATTATCAACATCTTTTCTCCACCAGCACTGCCCCCCACCTATGGCATAAATGTTCACTCAGCCCTTGTAACAGCTCAGATTCCACCTTGTTCACAAATATTTCAGAACTTCCTAGCCAAGAGAATTGATAGAGCTTAGTTTAGTTGTACATAAATATTTTATATTTGAGGCCAGTCACTCTTGATAAAATCAACTTCCAATAAACATCAGCATCCTTTAAATGAAAGCTTTCTCTACTTACCATCAGTAGTACAACACCCCTCAGGGGGAGGCTTCATCTGATATGGAATGAGAGGGCTACTGGACTCTGACCCATCATCCTCCTCCTCCTCCTCAGTTCCCGGTCGTTTACAAGCTGTGTTAGGTAGAAGCCCATCAATACTACAAAGGCATTGAATTCCATCCTAGCTCCCAAAATTTTCACCATCTAATTGAACACTATTTTATACACTGGTTGAATCCTTAAAAACAAACCATTAATAATGGGGTAAATTTTCATTAAATGCCATTTGTATCAGAAGGCACTGAGAACTACACTTTAATCTTATTAGAGAAGGAATAATTAATACATGTGCCCATAAGGTCATAAGGATCTGTGCCAAAAGAAGGGAAAGTGATGTTCCTGCGATCTATTCATATTGGGAAAACCAACAGGAGCAGGCAGAAATGGTGAGTGCAATGTGAGCTAGCCCTGAATCATCAGTGACAAGAAGAGGTTGCCACTCTTAATTTTGGTCCACCCCTGAAAGTTTCCACTTCAATCAGCCAGAACATACCATCCCCCTCGCCCTGGGACAGAGAAGCATGCCAATTGCAGGCTGCTCTTGAGAGTTCCAAATTGTCCAAACAGGAAATAAAGGCAATCCCGGAACCACACAGATCTGGGAGATTGGAGGTTTGCTGCTTCTGTTTAATACACACAGTAGGAGAGGCTCAGGAAAATCTTACTTTTTATGATATCATTAAGCTTCAGACAAGTTCACTTCGCTTTTTCACTGAATGTAATATTCAAGGCAATACTTCAACCACTGATACTTCACTCCAGGTTACCCAAGTGAACATAATTTTGAATGAGAAATGCTAGTCCCGACTCAATGTTGACAGAAAATCCAGCGCACAAAAAGAATGCGTTCTTCAGGAGCTAGGCAGTTATCTGTATTTGCAAAGACACCAACTCGCAAAGCACAATCCAAGCATACCAGAAATTTAAAGCAGATATCCTCATGTGCAATCGCATCAAACAACAAGGAACAATACAGCACAGGAACAGGCCCTTCGGCCCTCCAAGCCTGCACCGACACATTTTGCCCTTCCATACTAAAACTGTCTTCATTTACAGGATCCGTATCCCTCTTTTCCCTTCCTATTCATGTGTTCATCCAGGTGTTTCTTGAACGCTGCTATTGTGTCTGCTTCCACCACCCCCTCTGGCAGTGTGTTCCAGGCACTCACCACCCTTTGTGTGAAAAACTTGCCTCACACATCTCTTTTAAACTTCCCCCCTCGCACCTTGAACCTGTGTCCCCGAGTAATTGACCCTCCACCCTGGGAAAAAGCTTCATACTTTCCACTCTATCCATACCATTCACATTCTTACAAATTTCTATCAGGTCACCTCTCAACCTCCTGCATTCCAGTGAAAACAAACCCAGTCTATCCAGCCTTTCTTCATATCTAAAATCCCCCATATCAGGCAATATTCTGGTAAATCTTTTCAGTACCCTCTCCAAAGCATCCACTTCCTTCTGGTCGTGCGGTGACCAGAACTGTATGCAATATTCCAATTGTGGCCTAACTGAAGTTCTATAAAGCTGCAGCATAACTTGTCTACCCTTCTACTCAATGCTCTTTCCAATGAAGGCAAGCATGCCAGAAGCCTTTTTTACTACCTTATCTACCTGCGCTGCCACCTTCAGTGATCTATAGACCTGCACACCCAGCTCCCTCTGCATATCAATACTCCTAAGGGCTCTGCCATTCACTGTATAATTTCCAACTGTACTTGACCTTCCAAAATGCATCACCTCACATTTGTCCGGATTAAACTCCATCCGCCATTTTTTCTGCCCATTCTTCCAACTGATCTATATCCTGCTGTCTCCTCTGACAATCCTCCTCACTGTCCGCATCTCCACCAATCTTTGTATCATCCACAAGCTTACTAATTAGACCAGCTACATTTTCCTTCAAATCATTTATGTAGATCACAAACAGCACAGGTCCCAGCACTGATCCCTGTGGAACACCACTAATCACAGCCCTCCATTCCAAAAAGTATCCTTCCACCATCACTATCTGTCTTTTATGACTAAGCCAGTTTTGTATCCCTCTTGCCAGCACATCCCTGATACCGTGTGACCTCACCTTCTGTACCAGTCTGCCATGTATCCTTGTTACATGACTGAAAACTGAATTTACCTCACTACACCTGAGATTCAAAGGGGGCTGAGAAAAGCCTTCAGGACTCCTGTGGACATCAGCTCTACATCCTTGAATTTTTTTAATATGCTTATATACTTTGCAATGGCAGCCTCTAGCTGGTCATCTAAGGAGTGCTGGCATGGCTGCAGATAAACAACACTGTTATCCTGAGCACAGTAGGCCATCTGCCAACTGCATTTGCAGCAGTTCAACTTGGGAAGTTTACTCAAGAAGCTGTTAGACAACCCTGGTTGTATATGCCAAGACCAAACACCTCCTTCCAGTACAGAGCCTATGAAGAAAAGTCTTTACCAATATGACATGCATCTGGCACAGAATATGCACACACACATACATGCCACTTACCATACTGAATGCTCTGTCCCTTATTTGACAACAAATTTCTTGCCTTTTAAACCTAGCTTGACAAAGAGGGGAGAAATCTAGCAATCTTTGCTCAAGATAGTAAAGCTAAAAGATTTTAGAAGTCGTCATATACACCATCTAAGAACATACTGAACAAAGCCAACTATCAATTATGATGTTAGACAAGCACCAGCAATGACAACCAAACTGGTCAGAAAATTGAGTACTTGGCTGAAGAAACTTTCACACTTATAAAATTTGAAACAATGTAGGGCATTGTAAAGTTAATTTGGAGGCACCAGTATGCACACTATCCCCTGAGAAATGGAAACCAATTATCCTTTGTTTTTGAATATAGAACATGCACTACATGTATGATTGTATTTCAACTTAAAAAATATTTTGGTAAAGCTGAACAAAAAAATGGAAGATAGCCTTACCTTCTAAGTTTGAAATCAATTGGTGCTCAGCCTCTAGATATAATTGTGAAAACACAGGCCTGGGAACCAAGTTGTTTGATCGCAGGGAGGCTTCAATCGAGTTATGCAGGACCTCTTCAAAACGTGTCGTCTTCAGTTGCCCAGCATATGAGTTTCCCATCTTTATAAAAACAGAATCAACTAAAAACTCAGAAGCATCTTACGAAACGAACTGAACACAGGCAGGAGTACGTGTCTCTAAACTAACTTGAGCTATTCGCAGAGACATTAAAATTTTCCTTCCGCATTTTCTGAAACATGGTCAGTAAAGCAGGACACCAAGAGCTCCCTGCCAGTAAATTACAGGAAACCATGTGCTCACAGCCCAGAGCAAAGGGACTGCAGAAGTTAACACCCTTTTTATGGAAGTTATTGACATCTAATGTTACAGCTTAATGAGGCGTGCTGAAATAGAGTGCTCGCATTTAAAGTAGCAATAAAGCCTGTCTACAATACAACCTTATAGCCCCATGTAAGAGGCAGCAACAACTATTCAAATATAACTATCTGTGAAGCTGACAGTATGTTTGTTTTGTCACATGGTTAGTCTAGACTGGGACTGGAAACTTTACATATAGTTTGCGGCCTATGGCAGATTACTTGTGTTACTTATTCTCAGACCAGCTGTTTCGCTGTAACCAATTTATGTCGAAGATGGAAGGTGTTAATTGGTTGGCATTTAAAAATCTTAATGAAATATTTACAGCTTGATTAACCATTGATTCATAGTTGCAATCCTTTAACAAATACTGCAAAAAATGGTGTCAGAAGTGATATCTCGTAAGGACAGACTTTGTGAAGAGGTGATATCATAAAACAGTGGCACAAAATAGCTTTACTGAAAGACACAATTTGAGCGTTCCCAGATGACTATCTGCCTTCCTCTTTTCCCTCAGTGACTGTTCTTTCTAGTGTCCCATAAAATCATAAGATTAAAAGCACACCACCCTTGCAAGCAATCACAGACATGCTAATTCAGGGTTATCATGTACTGCTTGTAGGACTGGTATTAAATTAGTGGACTATTACTAACAGGTTATAGTATTGTCCGTTTTTTTCCCCGATCATTAATTCAGCCACAAATGTAGATAACAGGAAGAAAATGGATGACTATTCAGAATTTTCAATAAAACTGGGAGAAATATTTAAAAGCCTTTGGAGGAGTGAAGTCCAATAAATAATACAACTTGTGATGACATTGGTCAGAGATGTAAAAGGGATTTCTGTGTTTCACAGAACATCTTATCCATCAACTGATGCAGATAAGAAATATCAACTTTGAGTGAGATTTTCCTGAGGCATTTTCCTTTCCCAACAATCTCTATTGTAATGAAATTACAGCCATAAAAGTGAATTTGTGTCAAACAACAATCAGCCTGGATAGAGATCCCAGAGCAGACTGGGAGACAGCACCAGCTCTTTTAGCAGCAATGGGATGCACCTGACCCAGGGATACTCCAGCATAGAAACTATTCCGAAAGTAGCAACAATTTTGACTGGCTGTGGGGCATTCCCTGCAGTGGTAATACATTTTAAAGTTAGCCAAGAAATTGCAGAACGAAAACAGAGCTTCAGAAAACAGTTATTAGAGATTGAGATATGTTCATACCCAAAGAAAATTTCCACAAGATTACTTACAAGATGAGCGGGGCACTTGTCAAGGTCTACTTTTCCTGCAGCCTCCAACCACAAAGTGAGTTTTTTTTCTAAGTTTTTAAAATGCTTGGGAAGCTAGGAGGAAGAGAAATGGCTAATCTCCACTTACACCAACAAAACCAGCAAATATATAGAAGTGGCTAAGGAACCAATTCCTGGTGATTCTCAGTTTTCTCGATTCAGATTCCAGTCCAATTTCTAACTCTCTAAATCACACTAACACAGTCTCAAACTCAATAAAAACTGAAAGAACTGCGGATGCTGGAAATCGGAAACAAAAACAGAAATTGCTGGAAAAGCTCAGCAGGTCTGGCAGCATCTGTGGATGAGAAATCAAGACTTAACATTTCAGTTCCAGTGGCCCTTCCTCAGAACCTGCGAAAGGGTCACAGGACCCGAAACATGAACTCTGATTTCTCTCCAAAGGTGCTGCCAGACCAGCTGAGCTTTTCCAGTAATTTCTGTTTTTGTTACAATCTTCAACTCTCTACACTTGTTTAAATGTTACATTCATGGACAAATAAACACAAAATGCTCCACACGTCAGAGAACACACCAATTCTCACAATAATTACTCCCCTATGAAAAGTACTGAACATACTGAAGTCTTAAATTGTTTTCAGCACCAACTGATGTAAATGCCCTTAGCACATTAGATTTCCTTGCTTGTCACTTCGCTAATACAATAATGTAGACACTAAATTATACTTAAACGCTGTACATGTTGGCCGGTAATGTACGTTTAATGGCAAAGCAAGGTGATCATCAACAACTTGAAAAAGCTGTGCTGAGTAATCTGGTGAAGGCTGTGGTAAGATGCTTAATTTCTCTTGCCATGAATTAATTATAGCCTGATTTAACAGAGATTCCCAGTGTCATGTTCCCAATGTGGATCTAGCCAAAGATAACACAGTGTGGAATGGAGGAGCACAGCAGGCCAGGCAGCATCACAGGAGCAGGAAAGTTGGTGTTTCGGGTCAGGACCCTTCTTCAGAAATGGGGGAAGGGGAAGGGAGCTCAGAAATAAATAGAGAGGAGAGCTAGGGCTGGGGAAGGTGATAGGTGAGTGCAGGTATGCAGTGGTGGGAATTGGACAGTGAGGTGGGAGGATAGATAGGTGGGAGAGAAGATGGACAAGTTGTGTTAGGTCAAAGGGGCCGGGATGAGAGGGAAGGTTGGTCATGGATGAGGCCAGGGATGGGGAGATTTTGAAACTGGTAAAGTCCACGTTTAGGCCATTGGGCTGTAGGCTCCCGAAGCGGAATATGAGGTGCTGCTCCTCCAGTTTGCGGATGGCGTCATTGTGGCACTGGAGGAGGCCCAGGATGGTCATGTCACATGGGGGTGGGAGGGGGAGTTGAAATGGTTCGTAACTGGAAGGTGTTGTGGTTTGTCATGAACAGAGCGCAAGTGCTCTACAAAATGGTCTCCGAGCCTCCGCTTGGTCTCACCAATGTAGAGGAGGCCACATCAGGAGCAATGGATACAATAGACCACATTGGCGGATGTGCAGGTGAACCCCTGTCTGATATGGAAGGTTTTTTTTGTGCCTTGAATGGAGGTGAGGGGGGAGGTGTAGGGGCAGGTGTAGCACTTCCTGCGGTTGCAGGGAAAGATGCCGGGGATGGTAGGGTTAGTGGGGAGTGTAGAGCCGGCGAGGGAGTCGCGGAGAGAGAAGTCCCTATGGAAGTCATATAGGGATGGGGAGGGAAATATATCTTTGGTTGTGGGGTCAGATTACAGGTGGCGGAGAATGATATGTTGAATCCGGAGGTTAGTGGGATGATACATTAGGACAAGGGGGATTCTGTCTTTGTTTTTGTTGCGGGAAGGAGATGTGCAGGCAGAGGTGTGGGGAAACGCAAGAGATACGGTCAAGAGCATTTTCAACCACCGAATGGGGGAAGTTGCTATCCTTAAAATAACAGGACATTTGGGATGTTCGGGAGTGGAACACCTCATCTTGGGAGCAGATGTGATGCAGGCAGAGGAATTGGGAGTAGGGGATCGCATTCTTGCAGGAAGGTGGGTGAGAGGTGGTGTAGTCTCGGTAGCTGTGGGAGTCAGTTGGGCTTGAAATCGAGGCGGTCAGCAGAGATGGAGACAGAGAGGTCCAGGAAGGAGAGGGAGCTATCAGAGATGGTCCAGGTGAACTTGAGGTTGGGGTGGAAGGTGTTAGTAAAGTGGATGAACTGTTTGAGTTCCTTGTGGGAGCACGAGGCAGCGCTGATACAGTCATCGATGTAACGGATGAAGAGGTGGGGGATAGTGCCAGTGTAGCTGTGAAAGAGGGACTGTTCCACGTATCCTACCAAGAGGCAGGCATAGCTTGGGCCCATGCGGGTTCCCATGGCCACCCCCTTAGTCTGTCGGAAGTGAGAGGAGATGAAGGAGAAGTTCTTAAGGGTAAAGATGAGTTTGGTTAAGTAGGTGAGGGAGTGGGTGGAGGGGGACTGGTTGGGCCTACGGGAGAGGAAGAAGCGGAGGGCCTTTAGGCCATCTGCATGGGGAATGCAAGTGTATAGGGATTGGACGTCCATTTTTTATAACTGACAAAATCCACGTTAGGCCATTGGGCTGTATGCTCAATATGAGGTGCTGCTCCTCCAGTTTCTGGGTGGTGTCGTTGTGATACTGGATGAGGCCCAGGATGGACATGTCACCCAGGGAGTGGGAGGGGGAGTTAAAATGGTTGGCAACCGGAAGGTGTTGTTGGAGCTCCCTTCCCCCTCCCCATTTCTGAAGAAGGGACCCAGCCCGAAACTTCAACTTTCCTGCTTCTCTGATGCTGCCTGGCCCGCTGTGTTCCTCCAGCTCCACACTGTGTTATCTCTGAGTCCAGCATCTGCAGTTCTTACTGTCTCTGAGTGGATCTAGCCAGGCTGTCTAAAGGATTTGCATGCACAGCAAGGTAGGAAATGATAAGCACAACAAATACTCGTATCTATGTAGCACTGTAATGCAATTAAATGTCCCAAGACACTTCATGGGGCATTACCCCATAGAAGGCAATGTCGGGTCGATGGCCAAAGCTTTGGTAAATAAGGAAGGTTTTGAGAAGACTGCTGTAAACAGGGAGAGGTAGGAAGGTGGAAGTGTTTAGGCAAGGAATCCAAGACTGTAGGGTCCAAGCAGCTGAAGGATTTGGCCATCAGCAGAGCAGCAATTAAAGAAGATGCTCAAGAGGTCATTATAAGAGGAATGCAGAGATTTGGGAGGGAGGTAAGGTTGGAGAAAGTTACAGAGATAGAGAGGCTTGAGGCCATAGAAAACTTTGAAAACAACCGTGAGAATTTTAAAGTTCAAGGCATTGCAAGCACAAGGGTGATAAGTAATCAGGACTTAGTGTAAGGTCACAGCCAGAAAAGCTTTAGATGACATCAAGTTTATAGGTGGTAAACAGTGGGAAATAGCCAGGAGAGCACTGGAAAAGTCAAACCTAGTGGTATAAAAGGCTTGGAGGAG